GGGTAGGAAGGGTCGCTGGATCCTCACCTGAGAATCAACCACTAATCCCAGTCATCTGTGTATGCAATGCTGCGCTAACTACACATGGCTCCTTGGGGAGGGGCTAGTCTTAGGGAAGCCATCATCCATGCTAAGTCCACACCTTGCAATGTGGCTTTTAGGCTGTAGATAACCCTAGTTAGCTCACTGATTCCTTAGTGTGAACTTTGGTTTGTCATTAGAATCTTAGGACAAGATGGGGAGAGTCTGCCTTCTCCATCCAGGGCAAAATTTCTCACAACACATGACAAGTGTTTTTACCACTAAACCATCTCCCTGGCAATTCCTGAAATTTTAAAATATCTCTGAGTATTTTCTCATCCTGCGAGAGAACACCCACCTAATCTAAAATCTTTAAAGAACTTCTGGGTCAGTAAGATGGCAGTAAGTAGTGGCACTTACCACTAAGCCCGAGTTCAATCCCTGGAACCCACAAAGTGGAGGGAGAGAACCAACTCCTCTGACTTTTCCTCTGACTTCCACACATACACCACAGCACATGTGCCCATACACTTACAACATTAAAACTATTTTCCAGATTTATTTTATTATTTCATGTTTATGAGTGCTTTGCTTGACCATATATGTGTGCACTTCATGTGTGTCTGGTGCCCTGAGAGGTCCAAAGAAGGCAAATCCTCTGGGACTGGACTTACAGACAGTTGTGAGCCACAAACCAGACCCTCTGCAAAAGAAACAAATGCTCTTGATTGCTGAGCCCACGTTCTGACCCAAATTTATGTAATATTTTACATTTCTCACACATGCCCCTCATCTCCTTTCTCATTCATAAGCCTAGGATGAAACCAGTCTGGAAACCACACTGTGCAAGCAACAGTGAAGTAGAACAGTATTATAAATCATGACCACAGGTTACAAAACAATTAGCTCCTACTAGTTACAGCTGCCTCAGAAAAGTAGCATAAGCTCAACATAGTGGTTCACGCCTTTGGTCCCAGCACTCAGGAGGCAGAGGTAGGCAGGTATCTGTGATTTCAAAGCCTGATCTACATAGAGAGATCCAGGACAGCCAGGGCTGTGTAGAGAGAGCCTGCAGTAATTACTTCATTTGTATTTTAATGAAGTTTGCCTGAAGATCAGAGAGAAATACAGCCACCCTAGTCAGTCTTATAGATCAGGCAGTGGTGACACACACCTTTAATCCCAGTAGTTACACTAGTTGCCATGGAAACTGGGCAGTAATGGTGTAAACCTTTAATCCCAGCCCTAAAGACTACAAAGTGGGAGAAGACAGCTCTCAGACACAGTTTCATTGAGGTAGAGTTAAAAGCCAGTGGCTGGCTGTTTTGATTTTCTGACCTTCAGGTTGAATCCTAATATCTGTCTCTGGGTTTTTATTAATTGTGCTATAAGAAGCTGTCTTTAAAGAGATAAAAGAAAAACAGACAGGAAAGGAGAGAGAGAGGGAAGGAGGGGAAGGAAGAAAGAAAAGTATTAGAAACCTCAGATGGCTTCTCTCAATAAAGAATTAGTTGTCAGAGGGCTCTCTCAGAGCTGCGGCTAAAGTACACTCTTGGAAGGGTTCAGCAGCCAACAGGCTGTGCTCTCCATGCAGCAGGGTATCCCTGGGTAGTACAGAAGATCAAATGGATATAAGAACAGTCAATACCTTGTTTGAATCCTAGAGTGGTGGTCTTGCTTGTAATTGTAATCTTAGCATTGAGGAAGCTGAGGTGGATAAATCATGAGTTCAAGGCCAGCCTGAGCTACGTTAGACCATATCTCCAACAATCAAAAAAAAATTGTTTCTTCAGCAGGTTCATTATCTGAAATACAGTTTTTCATGATTTATCAGACAATCAGATAAAGCAAAGAAAAGGAATATGGCAAATATCAGACACCATATTAAAAAAATAAATCAGAGGCTGGTAGGCTATCCCAGTGGGTACAGACACCTGCTTCCAAACCTGACCACCTGAGTTCAATCCCCAGGATTCACCAAGTAGGAGAAAACCAATTTCCACAGCTTGTCCTGTGAACTCCCCATATATGCCCTTCACTCGCACACAAATACATACACACCAAAATAAATAAGTAAATAAATATAAAAATAAGTAAATAAATGCCCATGGTTTGTTTAAACTTGAAAAAAATAAGGGATGTAGCTCAGTGTGCAAAGTTCTTGCCTACCATGCAGAAAGCTCTGGGTTCAAACCCCAGCACCAGATAAAGAAGACCTGGAGACAGAAAAAAACTGTGATCCCAGCCTCCAACACAGGAATCCACCTGCCTCTTACCTCCAAACTACTCAATCAGATGAAAAGCATGGGCCACCTACACCTGGCAAAGGCAGCTTTTTCAACACCTCTTCATATCTGTTTTGTTTTGAGACAGGGTTTCTGTGTGTAGCTGTCCTGGAACTGATCTGCAGACCAGACAAGCCTTAAAGTCACAGATCCGCCTGCCTCTGGCTCCCAAGGGCTAGGATTAAAGGTGTGAATGAAAGTGGTGACCTCTCCACTTCTTATTCCAACCACTAAATTGGGCCCTGAATCTGTTCTAACTCTACATCATTCATATATGAGAAAGCACAAATGCAAACTAAAGTTCATGTGTGCAGCTCCACAGGTGCCTTCTACTTTTTGAGACAGTGACTCTCATTGGCCTGAAACTCTGCCAAATAAGTTAGGCTTAACTAGCCAGTGAACTTCTAGGAATCTGCCTACATGGATGGCCATCACTGTATTACAGGCACATGCCAGTGTGCCCAGCTTTTGACCTGGGTTATGGTGATTTGAACTTGGGTCCTCATACTACTGAAGCAAGCAATTTACTGTAGGTCATTTTTTTATGTTCAGTACTTGGCAGTCACAATTTTTCCCCTCAAGACAGCCTTGAACACAAAAGATCATGTTTGCATTTGGCCTAAAACAGTGAAAAACAACAACAAAAAAAAAACTAGTAAGATAATTCAGTAAAAGAGAAGATAAGAGCAGAAGCACAAAGGCTAAAATTCCTAAATTCCATTTCTATTCCACCAGAGTAGCCACCTGTCACTGGGCACATTTCAGTGAAACAGACTACCATCACATACACACCTCACGGGTGCTCTGAAGGCTGAACTGATCCTAAGTAATACCCCACAACCAACCATCTACAAATAGCTAATCATCACATTAAACCTCTAGAATTGACACTCATGTCAAATCCCGCAATACAAGACCACAAAGAAATTGTTTTTGTGTTGCTTAAAAATCAGGAGCTTGGTGCATAGCCTGTAATCTCAGTACTTGGGAGGTGGACAAGAGGATCAGGAGTGAAAGGCAATCCTAGACTACGTGAGACTGTCTCAAAACAACAAAACTTGGGTGCTTGGACTAGGAATATTATAATATACCCAGTGACAGAACACGTACCAGCATGTACAAAGTCCTGTGCTCAAACCCACTACTGGAAGAAGATGAAGGCCTAAGAGGAGCATGGTAGTGGCACATCTGTAATCCCAGCAGTAAGGTGGCTGCAGCAGGAGGACTGTCCTGGATCCATCCTGGCTATACAGCAATTATCCATCTTAAATTAAAAACAAACAGGGGCTGCAGAAATGGCTCAGCAGATAAGAGGAATGGCTGCTCTTTCAGAGAACCGGAGTTCAATTTCCAGCACCCATATGGCAGCTCACAACCGTCTGCAACCCAGCTCCAAGTGATCTGAGACCCTCACACAGACATGCAAGCAAAACACCAATGCACATAAAAGAAAAATAAATAAAATAAAAACAAAAAACCAGGTACATCAGGGTCAGTGAGATGGTTCATTGAGTGACTCCCCCTGCCAACCCCAGAACTAGGGGAAGTTGTCCTCTGATACACACACACACACACACACACACACACGTAAATAAATGTAATTTTAAAAATTTAAATCAAGCCGGGCGGTGGTGGCGCACGCCTTTAATTCCAGCACTCGGGAGGCAGAGGCAGGCGGATCTCTGTGAGTTCGAGGCCAGCCTGGTCTACAAGAGCTAGTTCCAGGACAGAAACCAAAAAGCTACGGAGAAACCCTGTCTCGAAAAATAAAAAAAAAAAAAATTTAAATCAAGTAAACGTTTTTTATTTTTATTTTTTTAGGACAGGGTCTTAAAACTTCAGATCCCTCTGCCTTCACCTCCCAAGCGGCTGGTATTTTCAAATCTCTTGCAAAATGAAAATAACTATATTTACATATATCTATCAACTCTCCAAACTTTCCACGACAAAACAGCTACATCCAATCACTCAACTCATCGATTAAGAAAAGCTGGGAAACTGGGCTGGGCACAAACTACCCAACACAGTCCTGAATATCAGGCCACTTTCCCTAACTCTCACAGCCTGCATTAATCATTTACCTTCCTCGTGGTAATCTGACAACCAAGTCTTCACCACATGTAAAACACAGCTATGCTGTACAGTTCCTATTACAGTATCAGGGCAACTGACACTTTAAACATAGTAAATACACAAGGCAACACACACGCACAAATTGATAGTGAGAAACCGAATTCTCTGGAAAGCGTTAACTCTCTAGGCAAAACTGAGGAGCAAGTCGACACCCATCCAAAGAAAAGGCCTTAGTGCACAGAACGCTCCAGCTGAAACCGGAATTCCCGAGAACTGGAGGAGGAAAATGGGGGAAAACCTCTGGGTGCGAGATGACCTGAATTCTCTCGGGAAGAAAAGCAAGAAAGAGGCGTACGGACCCAGAGTCGAATTTTAGACCCGTGGCGCTTCAGGGAGGGGCGGAAACAGTTAACCATTTTCTAGTGGGCTCGAAATCGCCAAATAAAAGGCTCGATTTGTGAACGCGATCGGGGATTCAAAGGGTCTGGGAGAGGAGGCGCCTTCTCAAGACGAAAGCCGAGGCATTCTCCGAAGAACGGTCCAGGAGGCGGGAAAGGGGGAAGTGGCGGGGACCCGAGGCGCGGGCACCGCTCGCGCGCCAACAACGACCGGGGCACTTACGCGGCCGCTTCTTCCGGAGGCCCTCGCCGCGCGGGCGGACGACCGAGGCGGTGCCGCTGAGGGAGCCAGGCCGTTCCCGTCTCACGCCCTCCGCCGCCCCGGACCCCGGCGGCGCCGCGCTACTCGCCCGGCGCCTGAGCGGCTCCCGCCTCCGCGCTTCGGCATCAGCGGACGCCGACTCGCCGGCAGTGGCTGAGGTGGCGGCAGCCCTGCCCTGGCGCTCCATAGGCGCGCCGAGCCGGCCCGCTCCCATCCGCAGCTGCCGACGCTGCCGCCCGAGCCAGCCCCCCAGCGCCGCCTCGCCGTCTTCGCGCAGCCCGCTTAGCGCAGGCGCACGCGGGCTTCCGCCGCTTCCGTTGCGCCAACGTGGAGCGAGCCAATCCGAGCTGACTTAGGGCGAGTGGCAGGGCTGTAGTCCAATCGGCTCCCCGACTCGAGCCGCGGGGTACCGCGCTGCCACCCAATGACAGGCATTCAGGGCAACAGAGCGGAGCAGGAGGGGAGCGATGGCGGCGGCCCACGAAGGACTCGAGCGAGGGGCGCCCCCTTTTGCGCAAACACGGGAGGGGAGGGCCGGGCGGCTCCCCTTCTCCGTAGAACTCTCCCCGGACGTCGCCTAGTCTCTCCTCGCTGCCGGGAGCCGGCGCTCGTGGATCGCGCCCTCTTTGGCCCGATAAAGCCCCCGAAGCCACTAGTAGCCAGTGTTAGCAGAGGGAAGGACTTCGAGCCGCGTCTCACCTTAGCTTTTGTGTCTGGGTCTGTTTCTGTAGCTGCGGTAGGGGCCCAACAACCATCCGTACTGGTACAGGCACCATCTCTTTGTGTTTTGGCTATTATCCTTCATTCCCGGTACCATAAGGAAAGAAAAGACTGGGGTTGGTCTCCATGGCAACTGGCGGGAGGAGGTGGATTCTAAATCTTTCACTTACCTCCTGTCTGAAGGAGGCGGTGTGAAGGCCTGGAAGTTGGGGTGTGTGTCTGTCTGTGTGTCTGTCTTTGTTTGTAGCCCATGGCGGTGTGAAGGCTTGAAAGTTGGGTTGGGTATGTATGTGCGTGTTTGTTTCTGAGCTTTTTTGCATGCATGTATGTCTGTGCTCCATATCCATGCTCGCCAAGGGCAGAACACTCTATGGGATTCACCACAGGGTCCTAGGAACCTAACCCGAGCCTCTGAAAGAATAGCAGTGCTCTTAATCACTGAACAATCGCTCCAGCCCCTTGGGCTGACTTTTTGCAGAAGCCTGTTCCCCTTTTATGTGTGTGTTGAAGAACAGAAGAATTTGGCAGCTGGATTTGGTGGTGGTGGTGTTGTCTTTTCTAACAGTCCCTAGGTTCCCTCATATAACAGGCTCTTCCCAACATCCCCCACTGCCAAAGGCTGCCCTGACTCCGAAAGCATTCCTATCCAAATATACCCCTAAGACATCCCTCAATTTGAAATGACGGGGGCTTTCCCACAATTTCCTAAGTACCTTTTCTGAGAGGTAATAGTGTCCCCCGAGTGACAGCCCTCTTATCCTCACTTACTCCATCATCAATAGTACCAGACTGAGCTTCTTTTGGGTCTGTGAAATAATAGTCCCATGTTCACTCCAAACTAGTGTCCCACAATGTCAGACTAACTCTGGAAACCCTATTTCCTAACTTGAATTTTCAGCTAACAAGAATACCCATAGCAGAGCTGAAGAGAGCAATCAACAGTTACCAGCAGAGGACCAGGATTTGATTCCCAGAACACACATGGTGCTGGCAACCCTCAGTAACTCCAGGGGATCTCACTCTCCTGGAGTACCAGGCACCTACATGCTGCCCAGTCACCCTGTCACTCTCACATGTAGCCACTGTGCCAACCCAAAGCACTAGGCTAGGGCCTGAGAAGAGCTGCTTCTACACTTTAGGAATTACCACTAAAATGTGCAGGCATCATTGGAATTCTGAATTACGTGCAACCAATAAAGATGAGACATAGATGAGACAAAGTAAGAAGCATCAAAGCCATACTACTGAACATAACAGCCCCCCTTCCTCCTCTGGGCTGATCATCCTGCAGTGTTCATTGGATTTACAAGGCCAAAGTGCTTGCCATCACAGAGGAAACTGCCTTCTTGCTTCCAGTATTGTGTGCAGATTGGCTATCTGGCTGTTACCTCCAGTGCCTGCCTCCCACCATCTGTAGCAACTGAACACATCTCCCCACTTGCTGATAAAGTCAAGGCCTTCTTAGCTAATCCAGCTACATTTGTGGCCACTCCCCCTGTGGCAACAGCTACCACTACTGCTCCTGCTTCTGCAGCCTCAATCAAAACTGAAGCCAAGGGAGAGTCAGGGGAGTCAGGCAGGGATGTGGGGCTTTGACGAATTACAAAACTCTGACCAATTCAGCCAGTTTTATTTGTACAGTATGGAAATCAAGGCTTAGATTTGAGTGATGGGGCAATTATCTAGAAACACAAATTTTAAAAATGACAGGGAACTGGGGATATAAATCTGCTAGAGAGTGCTTTCTTAGTGTGGTGAGGCCTTGGATTTAGGCTCCCAGCACAGGAGGAGAAGATAAACTATTCTCTGCCTTTGTAATTAAAAGAAGGCACAAACCGGGCGGTGGTGGCACACACCTTTAATCCCAGCACTCGGAGACAGAGGCAGGTAGATTTCTGAGTTCGAGACCATCCTGATGTACAAGAGCTAGTTCCAGGACAGGCTCCAAAGCTATAGAGAAACCCTGTTTTGGCAAAGAAAAAAAAAAGGCACAGATTGTAGCCAAGCATGGTAGTCCATGCCTATAATTCCAGCATTCAGGAGGCTTCCAAGTTCAAGGCTACCTTGGGCTATATAGAAATACTCTTGTCTCAAGAAGAAAATGGACAGCACAGATTGAAGTTTCAATAAGTGAAAACCCCTAGCTTTTTGGTTTTTTTTTTCTTCACCACTAGACAACCAGGGAAAAACCCCTAGCTTTTTGAAACAACATTTTTTTTTAACTACATGATTCTGGTGGCCTCAAACTCATGAGGTAAGGAAATTAGGAGTAACTTAGCTGGCCTTAGGGTTTTTTAAAGGTACAGTTGGGCTGGAGAGATGGCTCGGTGGTGAAGAGCATTTGTTGATCTTGCAGAGCAACAGGGTTCAGTTTCTAGCACCTACGTGGTAGCTCACAACTATCCAGAGGAATTAGACTTCTGCACTCTTCTGACCTCTGCAGGCATCAGGAACACCCATGGCACACAGACAGACATGCAGGCAAACATAAACATAATATTAGAATAAAGAAGTACTATCAATGAAAACAGGCTGGAGGATCGTGCCTGGCTATCATGGGATGGCAAGGTTGTGCTGGTAATTATCAGGAAGTCCCAGCTCAAAATGTGGTCCTGTCTCGGGTTGCTGAATTGTCCACACAACATAGCAGCTGGCTTCTCCAGAGCTGGTGTCCTATGAGAAAATAAACAGAGGTGACAGTGTCTTTTATGACACAGGCTGGGAGGTCATGCTCCATTATCTATATAATATCCTGTTACTAAACAGGCCAAATGTATTCAATATGGATTGGTATCACACAAAACTATCAGGAGAGAGAAAACTTAGAAGCAGCAGAGAGCCCATAGTCTGCCCTAGGCTTCCAATGAGTCCAACCTCATTTCTCTTCTAAGTGATGAGACAAACCTGAGTTTCCACTGAGTTTTCATGCAGCTAAATTACAGCGTCACCGTAGAGTAAAAGATGATATTGTCTTTAATTACTGTTGTTAGAACCAAAATAGCATCATCCAAAAGAGGAGTTCTGGGACAATGTCCTAAACAGAAGGTCCTTGGCTTGGGTGAACAGAAACCTAAAGACCATTATCTTCATGGAATTAACTAAAAGCCCAAATAAACCCTTCTCTCCAAAGTTTCCTTGGAACTGCTGTTTTATCAAAGCAATGGAAAAGTAATACAGGGTTGCTCATCATTTCTAGGCCCTTCTGTAGATAGGATAGATTGATAGATAGATAGATAGATAGATAGATAGATAGATAGATAGATACATAGATAGATACATAGATACATAGATAGATACATAGATGATAGATAGATAGATAGATAGATAGATAGATAGATAGATAGATAGATAGATAGATAGATTAGTGTGTATAAACATGTATGGGGGGGGGGGGAGAAGAGGCTGAAGTAGACTTGGATGTCTTTCCTCAACTAAGCTCCACATCTTTCATTGTTTGAGACCCAGTCTCTCACTGAACCTGAGGCTCACTGATTCTGTTTGGCTGGCCGGCCAATGGGCTTCAGAGAGCCTCCTGTCTCCACCTCATCTTCAAGGCAGGGGGAACAGACAAAGCACCATGTCCTGTTTTTTCTGTGTGTTCTAAGGAGATGAGCTCAGGTCCTTATGCCTGCATGGCAGGTACTTTACTGACTAGGCCATCTTGCAAGCCTCAAACTCCATTTTTAAATCGAAAAACACATCATGAACTTATGGTAATATTTCCCCATTAATTTTTATAGTTGCTGACATTTAATATATCTGACTTATATTTCTCTTATCTCACCCTAAACTTCAAGTTCTAACAATATTGACACGTATCTGGTTTATCAATAAAAAGGTAGTGGTTTTAGAATTAAAATGTTAATTTTATTTGCAGTTCTTCATGTCCTTAGGACATACCATAGAGAGGATTGTTATATTTGAAAGTTACTTGAATTAATTCCTCTTCATGGAGATCAGCAATCAACACAAATGTTTTCCATTTCAACTCAATTCAATTTGAGAAGGGTTTAATGTTAAAATTTTGATGTGGGAGTGATTTCTTACTAATAAAGAAACTGCCTAGGCCCATTTTATAGGCCAACCCTTAGGTAGGCGGAGTAAACAGAACAGAATGCTGGGAGAAAGAAGCTGAGTCAGGAGTTGCCATGATTCTCCCACTCCAGACAGACGCAGGTTAAGATCTTCTCTGGTAAGCCACCTCGTGGGCTACACAGATTATTAGAAATGGGTTAGATTAATATGTAAGAGCCAGCCAGTAAGAGGCTACAGATAACGGCCAGGCAGTGTTTAAAAGAATAGTTTCCGTGTAATTATTTCAGGCATAAGCTAGCCATGCGAGCGGCCGGGGACACAGCCCAGCCGCTCCTAATTCAACAAAATTTAGATCTGGGAATACGCTGAGTTGGAAGAGTGCTTGCCTAGCATGCCTAAAACCCTGGGTTCGATCCCCAGCACCGCATACATCAGGCACGGTGGAGCACATCTGTAATCCCAGTACTTGAGAGAGAGAGGCAAGAGGCTCAGATGTTCAGTATCAACCATTGCTGTATGGTGTGTTCAAGGCCAGCCTGG